AACGGTTATTCGCTATTTTAAAGGTTTCATGAATTTTTATTTGAATGTGATATGTTCCATATTTGTTAGCTCGTAGTTCTTGTATGATTGTCGATAAACTGATGTTAATATTGGACAGTTATCAGCTGTCGTTTAAGCTAATGAAGCCCTTTCCTTTACAGGTGTTCAAATGCGTTAATCTTCTTAGGCACTTCATCATTTGATAGCAACTGTCTTGCGCTGATTTTAGAGTCGACCAATGATGTCCACTCAAACGAAGGATACGTTACCTGCGTTGGTCTCCTCAATGTGCATTTACGAATTCGGCTGCTCCTGTGAAGATAGCTATATTCGACGTAATGCCAAGCAACTTAACCAACGAATGAGTGAACATCTCCCAGAAAGGGCTAGATACAATACGCAGTTCTATATTGGCACACCTGACTAATAACAGTCATAAAGTCAGTCAGTCAGTTGCAACGTAGAACTTCGTACGTATGTACATAAGTTCAGGTTGCCATACCACATTATTAGCACAGAGACGCAGATGTCAAATCAAATCCCATCGTGATAAAGATAGTAGAGGTATTAATGTTAATAAAGAAGACTAGGGTTCGATGATATTATTCAAGAAGTATAATTCAGTCAGATAAGGTTAGAAAGACAAAGGTAGAAGTGCTGACGAATCCAGAAGATTAGGATTTGAGAAAGCACAACGAATGGATGCACTTGCGCCATTGTAAATGATTTTGAGCCATGTCATTCAAGGTCTCTAACCATTGGTGACTTTCGTCTCGCGGACCCCAACCAGGTAGCCTATATCTACCAACATGACTCAGTCCACTTGTTAGTGACTTCATGCATTTCTGCCATGTTTTGGTGTGGCCTCCGCTAGGTTTCTTCCAACGTATTCTAACATCACAAAACATAGCTCGTCGAGGCAGTCGATGTTTTGGCGTTCGCACCACATGTCCCAACCACCTCAGCTGATGGAGTTTCACCACTTTATCTACTGATCTGCCATCCTTACCTAGTGCTCGCTCCCTAACGACAGCATTGCTTACTCGGTTGTCCCACGATATACGAGCAATGCTTCTTAAACATCTATGATCGAATACTAGTAACCTACGAACATCTTCTACTCTTAACGGCCATGTTTCGCATCCATATAAGAGAACGGAACGAACTGCTGCGCAGTACACCCGCCCTTCGGTTAGCGAACGGATATCACGCCTACGCCATAAGTGACGCAGGTCGGCAAAAGCCAATCGAGCCTTCTGTATCTATGCTGAGATTTAGTCAGTCACTACGCCATCAGCACTGATGAGACAAGAAAGATAAGTGAGGCAGTCGATACATTCAACTGCTTCACTCCCTATCACTAGTTCAGGTGCTGATGCAACCCAATCTTGAAGCAACATTTTGCATTTCGATGGAGAAAACTGCATCTCCAACATTCTTGCAATGTTGCTTATGGTAGTCAGAAGACTCTGCATTTTGTCAGCGTCTTCACCGAATAGAACTGTGTCATCGGCATATTCTAGATCAGTTTGCGACTTTCCTGGTAGAAGGCCAACCCCTGAAAAATCTGACGAGCTTAATGTTAACTCTAAGAGGATGTCTACGACAAAGTTAAACAAGAATGGAGAGAGTGGACAACCCTGACGGACACCACTTGATGTAAAGAATTCCGATGGCAGTTCGCCATAGGCTCTCACTCGACCAGTGGTGTTCGAGTAGAGAGCTTGTATAAGGTTAAAACAGTCATAAAGTAGATAAATCTGAATCACTTCGAATGATCCTTCGTATACCTTCATCATTTCCCAACGCAGTTCCATCCCCTCTTATTCATATAGCAGAAGCAATGGGAATCCCTACATTCAACCACACATTATGTGTTCAAAAGAAATTCGTGACACTACTATCCCTTGCTTGGCTAGATATAACTTAATAAACGATTTTTAAAATTTTCTATTTATTTTCTGTTGTCATAAGCACTATGTTTACATCCAGTATTTTTTTGTAATTTTACGCCTCGTTCCCTTCATTTTCTTCACTATCTAATTCATTACACACTGCTTATTGCGTAATGGTTTAAATGTTTTGAGATGATTATTTTAAGTCTATTTATCCACGTTTAGCCTACCATTTCCAATGTTGAACTACTGACAAAACTTTTGTTATCGTATTTTATTATTCTTACTGCTATCAGTACATCTATCTTCCTACTATCAACTTGTACTTTTACCTATTATGTGTAGAGACTTAATCTATTTCAATGTGAATATTGACTCAAAACGCCTTGATTGGTTTAATATTTTCATTTACATATACATTTTTATTGAATCCTGATGGCGATCTAACTGGAAACAATAGAGTTCTCTTACTATTCTTGATTTTCTATTTTACGAGAATCTCAATCATATAGTTAGACGCTTCGATAGATTTAACACTCTTTGGACAATTCCGGCTTTCAAAAGTCAGAATCAGAATGCTGAACAATTGAGAAGACCTGACAGAATTAAAAATAAACCTAGATTACATTATGATCACCTGAATAGACATCCAACGTGCTGTGGATGTGATGAGTAACTAATAAATTTAGTCTATATTAAATATTCTGAGTTTTTTACTATGTCACTTGCGTTCGAAGCGGTAACTAGCCATTTGACACGTTTTGTTTATATAGGGTAGCCTTTCAGTACACTGTCTAAAACGAATGACTGTCAAATATGCCCTTAGTCACTTTTTTCTGGCTATTATATTTTGAAGTAATTGAAAGCTAATACACTATCATTTGTAGATGAATACTGTAACGCTTCCTTAACCGAAATTAAATCTACCACACTCTAATTCGTCTACACATTCTCAACTAATCTTATTTTTCAACAAGTAAATAGTAGATATGACGACTGATTCTGTGTTACTTGTTTGAACTGAATGTCAAAACTTCACTACTATATACTGCTTTTAGCGTACAGTCAATATTTGAATTCCTTTCTAGTCACCCACTTGATACTAAAGTTAAGTAATAAACCCTGAATGTCAACCATTTATGTCCATTTCGTTACTTTTGAGCTTCGGAAACAGGCTTAGCTTTCTAGTGGTTTTTCCGGGATACTTACTGGCTTCTGTTTAGAGGACAAAGAAGAAACAAAGTTTGAATTTTGCACACGATGTCTTTTCGGGATGGTCAATCGAGCCATAGTACGACTAAACATTTTGTGGTGGTTATTGAATCCCATAATAAATAGTTCTGTGGGTCTTAAACCTTATTAGTTTTACTAGATACACCCTAGCTGAAAGCTCTCGATCAATCATGAGCAACAGATCTTCTTTGGTTACAACGTGCAAGGTATCCCTCGTAGTTACTAGAAGCTTTGATCATATACTTGTTAGTACACTGACTATCTTCCGAATTTGTCTTCGGGACTTTTCATTTCTTGAATCTATTTTGACTGGGTTGTGAATCCTCTATTGCAGAGGTGTTAAGGACAGCAGCAGTTCAATACCCGATAATACAAAAAATCTGTAGTTTTGTTATGTTTTAAGCTGTGATAATCACACATACCAATCCCATCCTACTTACTATGAGTTCTGGGTCATATTTGGGTCTTGGCAAAGTGTAGACTGCTACTCCATAACTCTACTTTCATTTCGGTAGGACTTCTTTTGTAGGAGTCCTACTTAAGGCTCTGCCGCCGCATATTCGATAGTCAACTCCGTAGTTTATAGAAATATTAGGATATCCGTTTGTTAGTCACAGGCCTTTTATATGTATACATTAGAAATATACCTTCTGACAGTATAATTTAGAAAGCTTATAACGACACACTGGTCTGTTTAACCATAATTTTAGCAGAATATATGTGATTCTACTGAGCACCGGTAAATTAAAGTGTACTAACTTTCTAATGAGTGTGTATCTACAAAAAAAGCCTAAAACCAACCAAAATAATATTTTTCTCAGAAATAGAAAAGAAATACAAACTAACTTAGGAAGACTACTTTTAGTAACATATTCACTGAACTTAGTTTGATCAAGGTAAAAGCAGCATTCTTTACTATTTGAGAACTACCAGAACTAAAAAATTTACTGAAAAAGTAAAATGGTTGCCTTTCTTTTATAGAGATGAGTCATAACTGAAGACTAAATACCGTTCATTCTGTAGATGTGCAGATTCATCTGATAGAACCAAATGTCTAGTTGACATATCTTCTCAACAATTTCTAACCATGAATTCTTCACTGGAGCGGCTTCACCTTTAAACAGTTTTTGAAAAAGTTACAAAACGCCACTTTATCTTCATCGGTATTTTCGGACTTCAGAAAGTAATAAAGTTCTACAAAAGAAAATAGTCACTGATTAAAATAGGGTATTGTGGGGTTTTCAGTTCTAGTTAGTTTTAGATCGTAGAGGTTTTGAAATGATGGGAGACAAACAGCAATCTACTAGCCAGAAAGTATACACTGTCTCATAAAACATCCATTCGCAAAACAAGCCCATTCTTGGTTGTCTTCTTTCAGATGACTTCTATTCCTCAAAACACCCAGATTATGCCAAACGTCGGGACCTGACATTGTGCTTTAGCAGTAATTTCAGGACGATTCTGTTACACTTTCATTGCATACTACTTGTAAACTCAAGTGTCAACATCACACACTACAGTATCTCTGTAAATAAAGGTAATCTTGGCAACTACTTTAACTCAGTTTTGATACCGAAATTTATGTAGCGGCAAGTGATCAGTGGCGCTCAGCTTAATCTTTACTGAAACATGTGCCAAAATGATTAATAAACGAAATAGAGGTGATATCGCGAATTTTTTGAAGTCCCACTAATGGCTTATTTGATCATGTATTTTCAGTTAAAAATAGGTTTGAATTTCAGACCAAGGTAAAAACTCTCGAATCCTGTTGGTAAAGCACAATCAAAACAACATTCACAGGGTAACTTGAAAACTAGCAATTAAAATATCGTTTAATAACGCTTTGAAACACAAGTTCATAACGGTTATCTGCTACCATAACTTTGCATAGTTTTGAATTTTTCCTTCAGTCTTAAACTCTTGACCATTTGTTACTAATAGCAATATTCAGGATAACAACTTAGACTTACGTGATCCTACATAAGCATTTTTAATATCAGATAAATTATAATAAAATTTAACTTGTATTTACCTGCAACAGTGACAATAGTTCCCGCCATCAAAATAATTGAAATGACAAAAATGATCCAAACAAACGCTAAAACAATGTTGATTTTTTCTTTCGGTCTATTTTTGTACAAAATGCCTTCATAAATCCCACCTCTTCCATATGGATGTAAGTCAATCTCTTCTTGTTCTATAAGTGTTTCTATTGTAAGCGATGATAATCTAAATTGTGGATAAAAAATCGTTTATAAATGTTTCGATAATCATTTTAATTATTCACAACTACCGATTTTGCTGCTCCATATCCATTGTAACACAGAAATTTGGTAAATTTGGATCTAATCCCAAAGCTTGCCTAAGAACAGATTTAAGTTTGTCTAGGTCGGTACTCTCTGGATCTAGTTGATGGCGATCCATAACATGATATATATTTTCGCTGCTAAATCTGACATGCGTATTTTGGCAATTAAGATCTGAGTCCTTTACAACGTTCTAAAAATAGTAAATTACGATTCAGATACAAGGACACATAACACATCGAACTCATTAAGATATTGAACTGGTAATGCAATAAGAACTAGAATCAAGTAAATAATTATGCAAAAAAAACGATTCATCACAGATATAAAATGAGGAAGTAAATTAACCACGCTTATACAGTTAAGGGTTTCGTCCGAAAATTTTTTTATCAGTTTCTTTGATTCAGTAGAAAAGGCATACATTTGACGTAGTTATTCTAAATCTAAAAATAACTAATAAAACTTCCATTCATGTCAGATCGTTCAGTCTTACGTCCAAGAAGATTAATGAATGAATGTTTAAAATTTAAAAAAAAATATCTAGAGCTTGCAGGGTATTAAATATCAACGATTCAATCTTTAAGTGAACATTGAATAACATTTTGTTGCGATTTCTTTAGACTATTTCAGAAAGTTAGCTTGAATAAAATTCGCTGAAATTATTTAGTAATCTATATTTCTCAGTGATAATTGGAACTTGCCATTTAAGAAATTCAATTGGTCATTTTATTTGATTGATTGTAATGTACAATCCACGACTCCTGCACCCCGCAGGATCCGAACCCAGGACCTCCGGTATTGTGCGCGAACGCCCCAACCGTTAGACCACTGAGCCGGATGCGCACTGCTGAGGAGTCCCATACCAGGACGAAAAGGCCGTCCAGTGCTTCCAGGTTTCTAATGGTGGTCTAACATTGATCGATTCATGGTTTCAAAAATGTGTAACTTAACAATCTTCACAACCCCGTAATGTAATGTATTATGTCAAATATGTTTTAGCTTCACTAACAAAATTCAAAATTCTATTGCCATTTTCAAAAAACAAAGTACTTCGATTTGTTTTAGCTGATGATCAGTCAACCTATTACAATAAACTTGAGATTACTTATCTTCCAAAAGACAATTATGATAATGTCCATGAAACTGTGAAAACATTTGAGTAATTGAAGAAGCTCTGAGTTATGAAGCTCAGATAATAAATAAATTGTTCTTGTAATTCGATCCATTTTCTAAACCTTAAGTATTTTTTATTAGGCAAAATTAGTGAATGTAAACAAATTCAACATCAGATAGATCAAGTTTCAACAAAGCTGACATACATGATTAGAAAATTTCTTTTTGGTAATTTTTTTATTGCATGTTGAAATTTTCATTTTATTCCATAAATAGTAATTGACGCAAACTATATAATTTATGAAAAGAAGTAAGAATAAACATTTCCATGCCTAATACATCAGTCATGTTAACGATCTACAATTATCTTAATCAGCAGATAAATCAAAAGTTAATATAAATAGCAATATTATACTACTATGAATTACAATTAAAATCACTAAGTAATTGAAGTATAAAGCTTATGCTATTACTTTAAAAAGTTTAATTAATCTTGATATTGATAGTTTTGATACCGAGATCTATATTAGGTTAAAAATTAAGTCGACATTTATTCAAATATATTTTAGTAGGAGTAATTGGGACGAATTCAAGATTCACTTTACAAAGTCATTTGAATTGTGGTGTTTTATTCTATTTTGTTCACCGACTAGTCGGTCTCAATAGTCTAATCAACTTTCGTTGCTAATTAAATAAATTGAGAAATACTATGAAAGACTTACAAAATCATCTTCAAATTATGGTTATTTTTGAATAGTATATATTCACTTTAATAATGTTAAGATTTACGGATTACATATTTTATTTGTTAAGCTTCAATATTACATTGGATAACATTACAGGAAATCTCGGAAATTCGATGATGGCTCAGAATGAACTACAATGGTTTTTGTGACTGAAAGTTATTATTCTCTGGGAATCTTATAGTTCACTCTAAGTAACGTTTCTAAAATATGGCTAAGAGTGTCTAAATAAGTGAAAACTTGTATTTACTTGTATATACATTATCTTAGATAAATGTGTCTCAACTCAGACTGTTTCGTTTTCCGATAGATTATCAATTAGAAATGCGGTTGAGTAAACTTTTGATATCAGCCACAAGTATATTCTTTATTTTTTTGGATAAATATATTCAACTAAAGGCAAAATAACTTTTCTGTTGAAACCGGGTTCACTGTATTCTAATGTAATGAAGTTAACTTTTTAAAATACATTATTAAGTAGTGTAGGTTATGACTTAGCCTCATAGGAGTGAAGCTAATCTTATTTGATTTCACTAAACTCAGCGCATGTCCTCAGATCGTTCTTTTTATCAATATGATCGACTGAATTTATTGATCTAATCTGCTCAGAACAGGGAGCTCTTTATCGATTAATAAACATATTTACTGGAAGCGAAAGTGTAAGTACAAATATTTATTGATACATTTTATCAGTATTCTGTATATTTATAAAATTAATCGGTCATCTCAAATTTAAAACGTCCTAATTGATTACTGATTTACATAAGTATGTTCATTGGATTTATAATAATACACTTTACTTACTGTTTCCAGATTTTCATCCATTTGGTAAAGTCCAAAATTTACAACTCAGTGATAATTTCAACGATGAGTTTTTTTATTTGAACTCAATATCTATTGAAGTTTAGCAAACGATTACCAATCACAGCGACTCGTCTCACTACATATCTAAGTCCATATTTATACATTATCATAATGTAGATGGGAGGTGCCTGAAATTTGAGATATTAATTGAAGGAAACAAGAGTCCTATTATCTGCATTTATATAAGTTATTATTAGTGAATTATGGTGATAATTTTATTAGGTGTCATTATGAATAAGATAAGCTTAACTACTTCGGAAAACATAGAACTGACTACATTAACTTTCATGGATTTCAGTAAACTAGGGTGGAGATAAATTTTAATGTTTTCCCAGATAATGTCACATAATCAGCAAAAAGGCAGTATCTAATGCGATGGTAAGAACTAGTAATTATCAGATTTCTACTCTCGTAGTTACAAATAGATCAGTACTGAAGTCAGAAATAAGTCAGTATAGGATTATATTGTAATTAGATTTAAAGGCCGAATCGAGTACATAATAATATCAAATTTCAGGTGATTTTTGATGAGTGTTCGTTTCTTCTACCATTCAACCTTTTGTGGAGAATAACAGTTTTCTATTTTGCATGCAAGTATTCAGTTTTCCGTTCTGGATTCGGGAAATACGTTACCAGTTAGCTTGGATTATAGTTAACTGTTTACAGGTTTAAGTGCTTGAAATATCAAGTGAGCAAAATTACATCTTTAAAAATAATTGCTAACAAACATTTATTTTTATTTCTAATCCACGTTCATCAATGTGCTTATTAAGTTAAGTTAGCAATCACTTATTCCTGTCACTTTAATTTTTTATTGAATTCTCAGTCAACTGTCAGAGTTAATTTTGTAATATGATTTTTTTTAAGTGAGATCTCATTTTATCCCAACTTAACTGTGACCACATGTCAATAATCCTTAGCTAACTGAACCATCGTTTATTCAGGTCATTTGTGGAGCGACCTTATTTTTAAATAATTTGTTTTAAATTCACTACATGGTTTCAATTCTTGAATAATACTCATTTTAACAGGAACTTAAGCAGGTAAAATGAATTCATTTTATTTAAGTAGCTTTACATTCTTGATATTTCTCAGTAACACAACTGTAATCGAGTTACAGTTACTGACTATTTTATTCTCTTACTATAAATCACATAACCTTCTTGGTTTACCCTTGTGGTTTATCAAAACTTCTTGGTTGGGCAACTTTTTTGATAAATCCTTACCTGGATATGCATATTGTTTACTTTTATTTCAGATAAACAAACTACTATAGTGTGATTGAAACTACTATTCGCGAGATTACTAAGTAAAATCCCGTTAGATCCAGAAATCAGAACGAAGACTATGACTAGATGATTCGTGGTCTCGTGATATTGAAATAATATCGAGACCGGAATAAAGAAGCAGCTAACAACCACCGAGGAAAAACGCGGAATGGGAGTTACACGCTAGGCTCGAGTTATGGTCTTTAGTACAGTTAAACAGAAAGGAG